CTAGTTCGTTTGAGGTTATGTTGTGGGAAGATTCAATCACCAGTCCTGCTTCATCTTAGACGAAATAGGGTGAACATGATTCCTATTGAAAAGTAATTGTCTGTCAATCCTGGCGGATCAGGAAGCTAGATGCTCGAAGGGTATTTCAGTTGGCAACACCCATGCAAACACGATACCAGCAGGTTCTGATCGATTCTACTCGACCTCACCTTGCAGACTTTGGAGGTCAGGCCAACTATCGAGCCCTCCGGATGAAGAAAGCTGTCGCTAAGCGACCCGATGCTGGCAAGACCGGCCAGTTCCATGTTGACTTCGGCTTTGGGGCTTATGGACGGTTGCCTCGTGTCGTGAGCGCCATTTTCGCGTTCGACAGTCTCGACCGTTTCGTTTTCTCCGGCAGGCTTGTTGGCGACGTTGGCGACGTCGGCCATCGGTTGGCCAGCCAGTTGGCAGTGCATAACGACCACTTGGCTGGCCACCTCGGCCAGCAGGACAAGTTTGTCCTGGAGGCTGAGGCGGGGCGAGGCGACTACACGTCGCAAGAGGCGAATGATGTCTCCGGCGCAGGGCACTCGGCCGCCGACACCTCCGGCCGGACCCTTCAAGAGTGGCGCAAGAGGTGAGGGAGAGGGAGAGAGTGCGGCGAGGCGAAGAGATCGCGCCGTCAGGTGGCATCTTTTCGTCCTTCGGCGCAATCCGCCCAACACCGGACGTCCGGGTTCCGTGACCACGAGGCCGTTGGGCGTCGCTGTCGGCCTGAACGACGCATGGCCGAGCTCTCGACGTCGCAAAGAGCCTCCAGTAATCGCCGCCACTTTCAGACGACTCGTCGTGGAGAGTCGTCCGAGGGGACGAATGGAGGCGACGGCAACCGCGCAGCCGGAAGACGCATCAGATCGGCTCGTCGAGACGCCACTCGAGCTGTCCGGACTCGTGGCCAGAGGCTGTGGCGATTGGCAGACGACTTCTCTCGGACCGGCCTCGGAGAACTGGCCTCCAGCAGCCGGCAATCCGGTCTCCAGGTGCTTTTTTGTCTTATTCATCGCATTCTTTTCAAACTTGCCAAAGTTCTGTTAAGTAGCGAGAGAATGTCAACGCATTACCTAGCAACAATGCCATTCTGTCCACATGCAATATATTATTGTAAGATAAGATTTATTCCAGCTTGAGTAAAATTTTTTTCAACAATATAATTGCAAAAAGGAGGTTGATATTAAAAAATAAAGTTTGAAGACTAGCAGGAATTCCTATGTGAAATGAGTAGGATTAGAAAATTCCAGTATATCTTGCATAAGAGCTGTACTCACGCTTGGCGGCAATAGGACGATGAAGGAGTGATTGTTGAATTTCCCTACAATCTTATCAATTTACCTCCCAGAAGGTATTCTCATCCAGCCGAGACTGGATTGCCAGGACTTATCTCGCCTGGGTCTCATTCAATTTGGTATGCTGATGAGACCCAGACAAGATCGAAACCGCAGTTAAGTCCAACCAGGATAAGAATACCTTGTGTTGGGTGAAATTTAAAGGCAGCTGATTTTGGAAAAATTGAACTTGAGTCTTTACATCACAGATATGAGAACCAAGATGGTGGAGTTTTGTGTTTAGCGAGGTTTCAATTAGCTGCATTTTGTCGGTTTGACCTAGTTTCTGCAACTTGGTCAGAGCGACAAGAAGACCATGTGAATCATATCCAGTCCTAGTTTAAATGTAGATATGAAGACCAAGATATTGTGATCTCTGTTTTGTTCGCAGTCTCCCTTCGATGTGTAGAAGTCGTCTGACCTCGTTTTGGCAACTTTGTCGTGTTGCCAGGGCGACATATTTGTCGCACCTCGTTCGAAATCCCCTACTATAATAATTAGTATAATTCCAAGCGTCGGACAATGGACTCGGTACATTCTCAGTCACTTCGCCGACATTGTAATCGGCATCGCCAGTGCATCTTGTCATTCTCAGTACCAAGCTACAACACGCCAAAGAGAATTGCAAGACTCAGCTCGCTTTTATTCCGAATTCTGTTTCCTCTGCCACAGTATTCATGGAAATTTCCAGCATCTGTATGAGAGTGCACCAAGTCACCAATCTGATCCTTGAAATTATTATGAATACCATTGTTTTGAGCACAAGACTGGGTATGCTCCACAAGGCCTCCCCATCACTCTGACTAAGTTACTAAAACGAGGCCAAACCGACAATATTCAGCTAAACGAGGCAGAGACCAAACCAGTGACTCCACCATCTTGGTCTTTATATCTAAGCTGCAAGGGCTGACAGTTGAAGCTTTCCGCAATCAGACATGTAGGCCCCCCACTGCCATTGAATTGCTGCCAGTCTCGCCCCCCAAAAGTTAAAATTCAACTATCCTCCTAGACTAATTTCTTACTCAAGAATTAATGATATTCTCAAGCACTACTTATATAAAGAATAAGCAACTACGTCGATTAAAATGGCAAATATTTTTGCTTAATAATATTTAAGCTATAAAATATGATTTAGATTAGTCCTCGTTTTCTGTGAGTACCACATTTAACCCTCTGGCACCCATCGCTGGGTAATGAAGGGGTAACCTTGCCACAATACTCACTACTTGGTACCAAATCCCGTTGGGGGTGCTAATGGGACATAATTGTGGCCAAAACGGCAGTCCAGCTAATATAAGTGGCTTTTTTGGAGGTAGGGCGAAGGAAAATTTAATAACATCGTAAGACCTAGTAATTTCATTTTTCTTTCAGGCTACATTTTTGGAGGCAAGGTCATATGATATGTAAGGGAAATGTTAAGTTTAATCATCATATTTCTTAAAATTCAACTATCAGTCCTTCATCACCTTAAACGAAATAGGGTGAATACATGTCCTACTAATTTCCTTGTGGTAATCGTCTTACACAACCTAGGCCCTCCAAGTTCTTATTGCAAGCCAATGTTTTTAAAGGTACATGGTCAGAGGATAGAAATCATTGGGCAAATGAGTTAGCGAAGAAAATTTGCGTTTCGAGGAATCTCTTGTTTCATAATTTTTGAGCCTACTTCCATTATGAGTAAAAGTGTTTGGTGGAAAGATTCGAAAGTCAATCCCACTAGAAGACGACGGTGGATTTCTTTCGACCAGCTGTCGATTGGCTTTACTGGAACATTCATGTTGACGCTTTTTTCGGGGTAATCTCCTTCGATTCCGTTGAAAACGAGGTCGACATATGAATGGAACTAACCAAATCTTTTTAGGAATGAGCCGGTAACTTTTCTTGACTCGTTAACTCGAAAACTTAGCACGTTTTCACCTGACTCAAAAGAGATCATCTCGGAAACAGCTTCAACAATAATGTTCCAGTAAAGCCAATCGACAGCTGGTCAAGAGGAATGCTCCATCGTCTTCTGGTGGAATCGACATTCAAAGCTCTTCTCTAAACACTTTCACTCGAAATGGAAGTAAGCTCAACAAATAAAGATTTCGGCTGAAGCGGTTATCGAGTAGTTGTTTACGAAAAGGGACTCCTCATAGGTCGGCCTCGGAGTCGTGCATTTTGATTTGCACGAAGCAGTCTTCTCCACACCATCCCGTTACTGCAAGGCTGTCCCTTTATGACAGACAATGGCCTTAGAGGCAATAACCAGCACCAAAAATGAAAGGACACACAACTATTAAACCTGAAACTGTCTTTGTTTAGCGGTTCTGGTTCTGAAAATGTCTGTCAAGACAGGGCAGACGAACACTTAGCACAAGACAATGAGCCGATGACTTTTGCCTGCAAATAAAAAGTTCAACCTCTAATTAAATCTTTCTTCGGTTTCTGGTATGCCCAAATAATGAAGCCCTTCAAATTGCTTTATAAAACAAAATGTAAGGGGCAAAATGGCCAGTGAAACCAGATTTTATTCATATTTGCAGCAATTGAGTTAGTTGGGCCTAGTTTTCATTACTTAGTTGTGCTGCCAGAGCAAATTCTAAGAGCGAAAAGGCTCATTACATTCTCTTCCACTGTTGCCAAAGCGTCAGTTGTAGCATCAAGATACTAGTTGTAAGGAGATAAAGTCAATCCTTGCACCAGTACATCTAACAATGTATCCAGTCAACGGTTCTATTTCGCGGGAATAGAGAACGACACTGAAAGAGGATACAGTACGGGCTACATTCCTTGAAGCTTGCTTGAGTTAATAAAAGTGGAATATAACTCAGTCTATGCAGAGCATGAAGACTGCTGTCAAACTCAAAGCCACATTATCTAAGATGAAACCATTATTTGCGATTAAACTAAGTTTCACCTAGACTTGGATGTTAACAAGGCATGCGCTTTCGTTTGTCTTGCCATTTTGGAACCATCTCCAAAGATGAATCGCATTTTTCCCAAAATTAAAAACTAAAAACAAATCAGAAATTTTATCTCTTTCCCTCTACTAA